AGGACACATACCTTGGTTGCAGTTTGTCCCCGGCCCTGGTTGGTCGTGCGGGTGGCAGCCACTCGATGTGTCCCTTTCACATTGATGTTTCTCTCTCTCTCTCTCTTCCTCTCCCTCCCTCCCACTCTATCTGAACAAAAAGTGGAAAATTGTCCTCGGGTGAGGATAAAAAAAAACAAAAAACCCTGATGGAAGCCTTAGAACTACACTACATTCTTAATTTTTAAAAAGGGGGAATGACATCAGCAAGATGACAGAATAAGAAGCCCCAGACCCTTCTTCCCCCAGGAGACAGATATTCAGACTGATTTCCCTTGTAATAAATCCAAAAACCAGTCAAGAGGCCCCTGTATCCAAACAGACCCAACAGAAACTAGCTGCATGGAAGCCTGTAGGGAAACTTAGAGCACTCACTCACCAGGGCCTCTTTTCCTGGCACAGCATGGTGCAGTCAAGAGAAAATTTCCAACTGGTGGGTCCTCCTTGAGGATGGAAAGAGAAAATTGGACCCAAATGTCAAATGTTCAAACTTTTGGGGGGGGCTACCAGAGGGACTGATTTCAGTCTTGCCTAATATAGGCATTGACAGGTAAGGGCACCAAGTTGGGAGCTGCCAAAAACAAAGACAACAGTTTGAACTAGCACACGGGCACTGACCACTGCCCCTGCCCACAGCTCAGTATAGAGAATGAGTGGGAGAAAACCTAAAACTCCTGGCTCCTCCCTGAGGAGAGAAAGAGTTGAAGCATGTGTCCACATATGTCCAATGTTCCAGTTTCTTGGGGAGCTGGCCAAGGGACTAGTATCTGTAGCACCTGTCTCAGAGCACTGATAAGACCTGACACAGCCTAGATGGGGGAGCTGCTGAGAACAGAAAAGAACTGGACAGCTTGCTACTGCTCCAGAGGACCTGCAGTTACAACAGGCAAACACCAGAAGCAGCAAGAAATTAGAAGCTCCTGAAAAAAGAAACCTACAAAAACATCTAGCTGAAAATATGTACTCACAAGAGGGTGCATCCACAGAAAAGATGTGAGACGACCTCAGAATCTCTAAGCTCCCTGTCGAAGGCTTTCCCTTGCATAAAGACTGGGAGATGTGGCTGTTCTCAAATGTGTACACTGCAACCCAAAGTAGCAAGGCACACCAAGGAAACAAGGAAATATGTCCCAACTAAAGAACAAAATAAATCTCCAGAAACTGACCCTAAAGAAATTGAATATGAATTACCTGCCAGAACATTCCAAATCATTGACATAAATGTGCTCAACAAGCTCAGGAAAATAATGCATGAATAACATGAAAATATCAATAAAGAAAAAACACTTTTTAATGGAAATTTTGGTGCTGGAAAATATAACTGAATTGAAAACTTCACTAGATGGGTTCAATATCAGTCTTAATCAAGCAAAAGAAAGAATCAAGGAACTCGAAGACAAGTCATTTGACAATATCTAACTAGAGAAACAAAGAAGAAAAAACAATAGAGAATAAAAGAAGCTTAAATAATTTCAGGAATATCATCAATCAAACCAATATATGCACTATGGAAATCCCAAAAGGACAGAGAAAGGGGGACAAAGCATGTTTAAAAAAATAAGGATCAAAACTTCCCAAATCTGGGGGGGGGAGATATTCAGATTCAAAAAGTCCAACAGCCTCTTATGCAATACAAGAAAAGCAGTACAGAGACAGAAGTTTATAGTGGTAAGTGCCTACATTAGAAATGAGCTTAAATTAAAAACCCAATTTTGCACCTCAAGAAACTAGGAGGGAAATAATAAAGATTAGAGCAGAAATAATCAAAATAGGGGGAGGGATCAATGAAAACAAAGAGTTGGTGTTTTTTTCCCCAAAAGATCAGCAAAACTAACAAATCCTTACCTAAGAAAAAGAGAGAAGACTCAAATAAAATCAGAAATATGAGAATATTACAACCGCTATCATAGAAATACAAGGATCAGAAGAGATTACTGTGAACATAATAATTTGCCAATAAATTGAAAAACCTAAAAATAATAAACTCTTAGACACATATGACCCACTGACACTGAATCACAAAAAAATACAAAATCTGAACAAACCTAGAACTAGTAAGGAGATTGAACTAGCCACCAAAAATCTACCAACAAAGAAAAGTCCAGAACTCAATGGCTTCACTGGAGAATTCTACCAATCATTTAATAAGAATTAACACAAATCTTTCTCAAATTCTTCCACAAAATTTAAGAGGAGGGAACACCTCCACATGTATTTTATGAAGCCAGCATTACTCTGATACCAAAGCCAAACAAAGACACTATAAGAAATACAGACCAATATCCCCGATGAATATAAATGCAAAAAATTATTTACAAAATACTAGCAAACCAAATTCAACAGTACATTAAAAGGATGATACACCATAAGTAAGTGGGAGTTATTCCTAAAATGCAAGGATGAGCCAACCATTTTGGGCAAGAAGAAAAAAAACTGGAGTCCTCACACTTCCTGACTTCAAAACATATCACAAGGCTACAGTAATCAAAACAGTATGGTATTGGCATAAAGACAGGCTCAGCATAAACCAATGGAAACAATAGAGAAATTCATGTATACATATGATCAACTAATTTTTCACAAGTAAGAGCACACAACAGGAAAAAGATTGCCTCTTCAACATACAGTATTGAAATAAACAAATTTCCCTATGTAAATGAATTAAACTGGACTCATACTATACACAAAATCAACCCAAAATGAATTAAAAACTTAAATGTAAGACATGAAACTATAAAACTCCTTAAAAAACAAACAAACGGGGTAATAATGCTTCATGACATTGGTCTTGACAATGATTTTCTGGACATGACACCAAAAGCACAGGCAACAAAATAAAAAACACACAAGTGGGCCTATATCAAACTAAAGAGCTTCTGCACAGCAAAAGAAACATTCAACAGAGTAAAAAGGCAACCTATAGAATGGGAGACAATATGTGCAAACCATATATCTGATAACAGTTAATATCCAAAAGAAACAAACTCCTACAACTCAACAATAATAACATGATTTAAAAATGGGCAAGAACTTGAATAAACATTTCTCTAAACAAGACAAAAAAATGTCCAATAGGTATATGAAAAGATTCTCAACATCACTAATCATCAGGAAAATTCAAGTCAAAATCACAATGAGGTATCACCTTACAACTGTTAGCATGATCATTATTAAAAAATAAGTATTGTTAAGGATATGAAGAAAGGGGAACACTTATAAACTATTAGTGGAAATGTAAAATAGTGTAGCCACTATGGAAATCAGTACAGTGGTTCCTTAAAAAACTAAAAATAGAATTATCATATGATCTAGCAATCCCACTTCTGGGTATTTATCCAAAAGAATTGAAAAGAGGATCTAAGAGATATCTGCACCCCCATGTTCACTGTAGTATTACAAGAAGTGGAAACAACCTAAATGTTCATTAACAGGTCAATGGATAAAGAAAATGTGTTTTATACACATACACACACTGGAATAATATTCAGTCTTAAAAACAAAAATCCTGTCACATTAAAACATGGGTGAACCTTGAGGACATTATGCTAAGTGAAGTTAGCCAGTCACAGGTGATAAATACTGCATAATTACATTTATATGAGGTATATACTGCAGTCAAACTCATAAAAGCACAAAGTGAAATGGTGGTGGTCAGGGACTGGGAAGAAGGCAAATGAATAGCTGCTGTGCAATGGGGATAGAGATTCAGTCATGCAAGACGAAAGCACTAGTACAATGATGTACATGCAGTTAACAATACTGTGCATGTAGTTAACAATACTGAACTGTACACTTAAAAATGTATTAATAGGATAATCTCATGCATGTGTTTTTTACCACAATAAACAAAGGCGAAAATGAACTTTATATGACATGACTTGTTCGTAATGAACCATACCAGCTTCTAGAAATCAGCATTTCCATTTGTAAGTACTCACATCTTTATGGAATTATATTTATAGAATTGTATTTATAAAATTGAAGCTCACCAGTATGGTTTTCAAAATCCACTTTCTTTCTGGAAATCAGAATGAAAGGTCCATCTTAACCTTTCCTTTCATCTAGGATTTCCTAAAGATTGCTTACAGTGGTTTATAAAATTCATCTGCAAGTTTTCTTAGTACCCTGAGATAAAATTAATCTGGGGCAGAAGATTTGAAATACAGTAAATGACAACAGTTAGATGCATACTTGCTATGTACCTATCTTGATTTCTCTCTCACACTGTTGTTTCCTTTCCAAATTAATGAGAATGTTCCAAAGCAAACTAAAACAAAAAATGTTGAGTGATTCTACTTTTTTATCTGTTCACATTATACCAAACAGTAGGTCCAACCCTTTTTTTTTTTTAAATTTTTTTTTCTTTATTGATTTTAGAGAGAGAAGAAGGGAGAGGAAAAGAGAGAGAGAAACATCGATGAGAGAATATCGATTGGCCACCTCCTGCAAGGAACCTGGGTACGTGCCTTGACAGGGAATCGAATCAGTGTTTGGTGCATGGGTCGATGCTCAACCACTGAGCCACACCAGCAAGACAGTAGGTCCAACCTTTTAACAGTGCAATTAATCAAATACATGGTATTTTTATTTTTTATTTTTAAATCCTCACCTGAAGATATGTTGTTTTTTATTGATTTTAGAGAAAGAAGAAGGGAGAAAGGGAGAGAGAGACGGGGGTGGGGGGAGAGGGAGAGAAAGAAAGCGAGAGAGGGAGGGAGAGAGAGGTATGTGTGAGAGGTGAGAGAGAAACAGCAATCGGTAGCTTCCCATAGGCACCCTACTGGGAATCAAACCCACAACCTGAGTATGTGCCCTGACTGGGAATCAAACAAGCAACCTTTTGGTGTATGGGACTACGCTCCAAAAGAGCCACCTGGCCAGGGCAAATGCATGGTATAAGCTGTAATGGTTTATATAAACTTTAAGAATATAGCTATTAAAATTATAATTTCACTGCTTACTTTTAAATATGCAGCTGCCTCTTGGACAGAAAGTGTTCTCTGACTAGAACTGCCACATTCATGATCTCCTGGAAAGATTAGCATATTATTAATTTAGAATCAGTACTGTGTTCAATGAAAGAAAACAAATACTAATAAAAATATTTTATAAATTACAATTATAGTTATATTATTCTAATCAGTAAAGAAAGATGAACATAATTTATATTTCCTAGGAAAAATTCAAGTATTATAAATAAACAATTATCTTTACATAAACACAACCTTTAAAATGCATTTCAGACCAGATAAGAACCTATCTTCCTCTTATATTTCCAACTAAATTGTTAGCCAGGGTAGGAACCATGTCGCACTAATGCCCATCCATAGATCTTGGCACACAGAAGGCCCTCCACAGATATATTATTTTTCAAGGGGGAAAATTCATTGTGCTAACATAGACATCTATCACTAAAACTAATCATTCAATTATTCAAGTAAGTTTTAATTAAAACATACATTTTTAGAGTATAACTAAGACTATATTTAGCAAGAGGTGTACATAACTTAACAATTATTATAACACATCAACAGGGAAATTAGAAGCTTCTGGCTATGATCTGATTGCTACAGAAAACTTTATTTTCCTTTTCTTGTAACTATAAGAGAATACAAAGCCTTTTCTTTCAGGCTATCTGTGATTATTAGAGATCAACTATCTTCATATTTAATTTCAAATGTAAGTTTTTCCTACCCTGCTTCTTTCAAGTAATTAAAAAAACTTTAACATAAAAGTACAGTAGTTAAAGTAAAATAAAAGCCTTGGCAAATTTTTCTATCATAAAATAAGCCATGATCCTATTTATAATTCTGTTCAAGTAGCCAGATGTTAGTGGTTATAGCTGTAAAAAGGGAAGAAATACCTATTAGATGAACAAGTCAGTCTTCAAATTTTATAATGCATCTTCAGAGATTCAGATGTCATAGATCTATAGCAGAGGTCAGCAAACTACAGCCCATAGACCAAATTTGGCCTACCACTGATTTTTATAAATGAAGTTTTATTGGAACACAGCCACACTCATTCATTTATGTATTATCTATGGTTGCTTTTATGCTATAATGGCAGAATTGAGTAGTTTCGACAGAGACGGTCTAGCCCGCAAAGCCTAAAAATGTACTACTATCTGGCCCTTTCACAGAAAAAAGTTTGCCAACCCCTGCTCTAGAGAAAGGAATCTATATCTTTAAAAGCACTTCAAATTATGCTGACGTAGTACACTTCATAAAACAATGCTATAGAGACAGCTGTAGAACCTTGCGGTAGCAACATCAAGAATTCCTGGCTAAACTATGTACTTAAACTATTTCTGGGTGGTACAGCATACCAAATAAATGTCATTTGCTTGCAGTGTATACATGTGACAGTTCATCAGTCAATGCAAAGAAGGTTTTTATAGTGATATATACAGAACTATGAGCCTAAAAAACTCACCAGAATCAAGGACCCAAACTAAAAAACCAAAGATTGATGAGAGGATGGGGAACTATCAGAATTCTAAATGTCTCCATGCAATAAGAGGAGTTCCACATTACCTACTGCACTTCTACCAATGATATGGTTTCCACAAAAGGATCTGTTACATCAAACATTTGAACAATTACCTTTTTCTTTTCTTGTAACTGTTTATAAAATAAATCCCAAATCTCTTCTTTTGGATTATATGGGTAATAAGAATAACTAAAAAAGTTAAAAGGTAATAAACTTTTAAGCTGCTACCACAGCTCATAGGAGCTAAACTTGATACCAATTCACCTATATTATTATTCTAACTGCAAACATGTTAATACCTGAGAGCTCTCAAAGACTTACTAAGAGCAGAATATAAGGAAAATGCAATGAATCAGGAGAAAAAAAATTCTAGGATATATTTATGACATCTATACAACCACTAAAGGAAAATCTGCATTTTTATATTTAATCTATGATTTTAGTTTAAGTCACTGTTTACCTAATTCAATTGATACTTAGCTTTCAGAATTTTGTTACTACTGATGACAAAAAGAAATTTAACTTTAGAATTATATAATATACATTTATATTTCATCTAATACATGTGGAAAAAAAGATCTTGAATAACTATATCTACAAAAATAAGCCATTCCACATAGGTAACAATAACTTCTTAAGAGAAAATATTACACAAACATAATACTGGACTTGAGAAAAACTATTTCTACTGATACATCATGCTATATATGCAAATTAATTTTCAAAACATTTTTAGAGACTATGATTGTTAAAATAATTACCTGCAAGCTGTGCCAATCGATCATGAAGCTTGTATAAAGTGTTCATCATAAGATTTTTTTCACTTTCCTAAAATTAAAGAAATTATTATAAAATATCTATGTAATTCCAAGAAGAACATATACACCAAATAATAATGTAACTCAAAAGAAAAACATAAGTAAATTTAAAATCACAGAAGCTACATAATCTACAGGACAAATTCATATTTAAATAATGGCTACCATGTTAAAGAAACCTAAACCTAAAAATCTAAATTATCACTTCAAATATTTTACTTTGGTGAGGATGATCAGGAAATTGGCACTAAGGATAGTGCTAAAAAAGGTCTCATACACAACAAACTCCCCCAACTACAAAGCAAAACTCTCCAATCTCCCCTGCCCCATACAACAGCATGCTTATGTTTATTGTCCATATGACACTGTTTTCTTTCAGGCTCCCCTTCGTGTTTTACTATGACTCAACCACAAAATAAGAGAATGAGTACTGACACTGTGATTGACCCTCAACCTCTCCTAGGCTCCCAAAGTGACCCTGTATAAGTTTATGAACCATTAAAGTAAAATATTTAATGAGTATCTACGATGAGTTAAGACTATTCTCATCCAAGCAAGAGATCCAGTGAACAAGATGGTTCCTGTTCTCAAAGGCAAAAAACATATTAAGTGTTACATTACAGTTGCAAACAAAATATAATGTAAACACAGAAGAGGGAAGGAAGAGAAGATCTATTTATGGAAGAGAGAATATTTGAGTTGAGCTTCACAGGAAGAATAGAACTAACCAGCATTCCAAGCAGAAGGAACAGCATGAGCAAAAGCATGAAGGCATAAAAGCATTGTTACATTTCTTATATAACCAGTAGCCTACTTTGACACAGCAACCTAATGGAAAAGCAGTTTGGAATAGCCTGCTAGAGAGCCCTAGCTACCAAGACAAAGAGTTTGACTTTATTCTTAAAGTTTAGAGGGAGGAAACTAAAACAGATTTGTGCATCAGGACTATTACTCTCATCATATGAAAGGAAACCAGAGGAGACCACCGCAATGTCTATGCACCCTGCCAACTAGTCTAAAGCAACGAGTCCCCCAATTTAAGAGCAATCACAATTAAGAGAGACCAATATAAGCAATGGAGAAAGTTGGGTTAGGAGAAGGGATAATAATAGCTTATCATACTATTTGAAATAAATTAATGATTCATGAGGGGCTGTGTTTTTATTATTTCCTTACTTCCTAAAGTCTAACAAAACAGGATTACTGGAAAAATATGAGCAAGAGTAAATTTAGACAACATATAAAAAGCTGAGAAAGTAATTATATGCCCAATAACTTGCAACCTCATCCATTTAATTTCATGCTGTTATGTTCAGAGACAGAAGAAAACTTTGGACACTATAAGTGGCATGCTGTTGTCAATGCAGCTTTAACCAGTGATATTAAAGAAAAAAGAAAACTTATCAAAGGCTCCACAATCCTACCACCAGAGTCCCTGGTTTTATGTGAGATGGTTGATAGAGATAAGTGATATTCCTTCCAATCCATTTGCTTTTCTTCCCTCTCAACTTTATCTCAACCAAATTCTGAATCAAATTAGTCCTATCTTTGCATAAGCTTAAAAATCGAAACTGCAAAAATCGGACATCAGAAAGTAACTACAGGGGCTGAAATCCAGGATTCTGAAAGCTATGCATTTGTGATACATTGAATCACAAAACTGTTTTTAATAAATATGTTCAATAGCCCAGCCAGTGCAGCTCAGTGGTTGCGTGTCGACCCCCACGCACCAAGAGGTCGCCGGTTTGATTCCTGGTCAGGGCACATGCCTAGATTGAGGGCTTGATTCCCTATAGGGGACATGCAGGAGGCGGCCAATCGATGTTCTCTCTCATTGATGTTTCCTCTCTCCCTCTCCCTTCCTCCCTCCCTAAAATCAATAAAGAAAAAAATAAAACAAAATAAGTATATTCAATATAATAGGATGAGAAGGAAGTCAATGATAGTGTAGCTTGTAGACTTGACACATAAAACCAAAGTAAATCTGATTAGGCTCTGAGATTAAAGTAGCTGAAAGTTTTGTAGTTTGTTTCCTCCCTTATCTGGAAAAGTGACTGATTTCCTTTTTGTTTTATATATCCTGATCAAACCCATCCCCACTCTCCTTTTGAAAACAAAACTAAATTAAAAAATTTGACACTTGCCCACTGTGATTACATTTTTAATGAATGTCAGAGGCCTAGGAATATACTTCATCCTTTCATTCACAGATATTAATACTAGACTAGATAAGCAGAAGAAATAAAATCAGATGTAAATGGATCTCATACTGGATAACATAAGCACCCAAAAAGTTGAACTGTAATTTTTTCATGATTTTTCCAATGACAATTTATTCAGAATGAACATCTATATACAAGATTCTCAAGTGTCATCCAAATGGACTATGTTACTAATGTGAACAAATCAACTCTGAGAGAGGCTTTAGTTCAATTATTTTTAGCACCAGTTTGCTAAATTAAAAATCTGAAAAGTATGTAAATCAAATGTTAGTTACTTTCTTTATATAAACTTATATTGGCTTATAGTTTCATTAGTCTTCTTCCATTCTGACTGCTTTTCAGATTGTCTCTCCTAATATTCAACTTGAAATGTGTCTAACTACCTAATCACCCTGAAAACAAGTTAAAGATATACCAACAAGTCAATATTTAAAGTAAGTTTTCAAGTTAACCTTTCATTAAACAAAAATAGTTTTAAAATCTGGGATAGCTACCTTCTAATTGTTTGGTAAGGTCCAGATTTCTTACAGTAACAAATATTCTCTGAAGCAAAGTTCTTATTTTTGGGAGAAAAAAATCAAACTGTAGCAAATTTTCTGATACACTGTCACCTTTAAATATTTCACTCTTTTATCCTCAGCCAATTTTCTCCTCAAAAATATTTTCAGCCCTGGCCGGTTTGGCTCAGTGGTTGGAGCATCAGCCTGTGGACCAGAGAGTCCCGGGTTCGTTACCTGCTAGGGGCACGTACCAAAAAAAAAAAAATATTTTCAATTGTTTGTATCATGTCTCTGATTAAATGATAATAATGGATTTTAAACACTTAGCCTGGTACCTGGCACAGAATAAATGCATAATGTAAATGAACTGCCATTATCTTCATTATCATTATTACTATTATTTAGAGGTTCAGAACTTGTTTCCCTCATGGGGAAAATTATACAGAAGAAAATATTTCCCATGTTAAGTGAGTACATTGTACACATTTAAATTGTGAAGCCAATAGCAAGTGCTATACTTAAAAGTATAATCGATAAAGTCAATTTTTTTAAGACAAATATCACCTCAATCGAGTTATTACCAAAAATAACCATTACAAAGCCACACTCAAACAATGTGAAGTAATATTCTGTGGATCTGATTACACATTATCACACATCCCTCATTCTATACAGTTCTATATTTCTATCAGTTCCTACAATAAAAAAATTAAGAACTAATTGTGTATTATAACTCAAATATCTTAATTTCTGAAGTGCCTAAAATGGTGGTAAGCAAAAAGTATTTTCATGTGAGTAAAATTTTGGTTAAAATAACATTAATAGATCCTTTTATAAAGAAAAGGAATACAGCCCTGGCCGGTTTGGCTCAGCGGTTAGAGCGTCGACCTGCGGTCCCGAGAGACCCGGGTTCAGTTCCCGCTAAGGGCATGTACCTCGGTTGCAGTTTGTCCCTGGCCCTGGTTGGTCATGCGGGTGGCGGCCACTCGATGTGTCCCTTTCACATCGATGTTTCTCTCTCTCTTCCTCTCTCTCCCTCCCACTCTCTCTCCCTCCCACTCTACCTGAACAAAAAATGGAAAAATGTCCTCAGGTGAGGATAAAAAAAAAAAAAAAGAAAAGAAAAGGAATACAAATAGGCAGCCTATAAGGGTTGTTTTTTTCTTTTGCTTGTTTTTTTTTAATCCTCACCCACGGATATTTTTCTATTCATCTTCAGATAGAGTGGGAGGGAGGGAGAGAGAGAGAGAGAAACATCGACATGAGGAGGACATATCAACTGCCTCCCACACGACCCCAACCAGGGGACAACCGAGGTTAACTGGAATTGAACCCGAGACTCATTGGTCCTTGGGCCGACACTCTAACCACGGAGTCAAACTGGCCAGGGCAGGATGTTTCTTTCTAAATCCTTTGCCGTCCTGATGGCTAAACAGGTGCCAATGAGCAAAAATTCCAAAGAGAGACAGGATGAGGTTCAAGAGGACAAAATCTACTAGGGTCTCTAACAACTTATGGAAACATGCATACTTTTTTGATGTTGTTGTTCATCTTCACATGAAGATATTTTTTTTCCATTGTTTTTAGAGAGTGGGAGGGGGAGGGAGGTCTAAGAGAGAAACTTCGATGTAAGAGAGACACATTAATTGGCTGCTTCCTGCACGCACCTCACCCTGAAACAGGATTGACCCTGAAACCCAAGTACATGCCCTTGACTGGAAATTAATCTGAAACCCTCTGGTGCTCGGGCCAATGCTCTAACCACCGAGACACACTGGCCAGGGCAAAAACATGCATACTTTTAAGGACAAGGCCAGGTCTTCAGATGACATACCACTGCCATTTTACTGGACAACTGGTTTTTACCTTAAAGTAATAAACAAACAGCTCAGCTCTTAGGAGAACATCTGTGTCATATTTAAATATACTATAGTTGCCCTGGCCGGTTTGGCTCAGTGGTTGGAGCGTCGGCCTGTGGTCCTGAGAGACCTGGGCTCGGTTCCCGCTAAGGGCGCGTACCTCGGTTGCAGTTTGCCCCCGGCCCTGGTCGGTTGTGCAGGTGGCAGCCACTCGATGTATCCCTTTCACATCGATGTTTCTTTCTCTCTCTCTCTCTCTCTGTTCCTCTCTCTCCCTCCCACTCTACCTGAACAAAAAATGGAAAAATGTCCTCGGGTGAGGATAAAAAAAAAAAAAAAAAATATATATATATATATATATACACACACACACACACACACACACACTATAGTTAAGGAATACTCAAAATAAGAAAATTTATTGCTTCAACCTAAAAGAACTTTATTTATTTATTTATTTATTTAAATTTTAGAGACAGAGAGGAAGGGTGAGGGGAGAAAGCGAGAGAGAATTTGCCTTTGTTGTTCCACTTATTTATGCATTCATTGGTTGATTGTTGTATGTGCCCTACAACTCTGGCATATTGGGACAATACTCTAACCAACTGAGCTACCCAGCCAGGGCCAGAACCTTTTTAAAACTATTATTTTTAGTTGACATTACTCTAATACTTTTATCATGTAAAACATGACACAAACCTTGACTGGTATGGCTAAGTGGTTAAAGCTTTGGCCCGAGCATCAAAGGGTGGCAGGTTTGATCCCCCGCCCGGCATGCTTGCCCATGGCAACCAATTGATGTGTCTCTCTCACATCAATGTCTCTCCCCCCCCCCCCCCAACCCACTCTCTAAAAGACAAAAAAAAAAAAAAAAAAAAATCAATGGAAAAAATATCCTCAGGTGGGGATTAACAAAATAAATAAGTAAATAAATAAAACATGAGACAAAAAGTATCAGTATTATATCTTTTACTTACTTGTATTTTTCCAAATGTTTCATCAAAGGGGTTTTTTACTATCAAGGGAAAAAAAAAGAGAGAACTATTAACATCATTTAAAAATTAGAGAATTAGAATCCCCCTAAACAAGTCCTCTGAAATGGCAGCATGCACTTTGCTAAAAGTGAATATAAACATGCAAATAAATGTAAAACAAACTGATGATAGTAACAGTTGGGGAAGTATTTCTCAGACTTATTATACTTACCATTCTCACTTGGAATTTGTGGTGTTCTCTGTAGTAACTGAGAGCAGGTGCTCTAAATGTCAGAGCTGCTGGGTTCAAGTCCCAGCTCCAATTATTAGCAATGTGACCTGAACTAACATCTATTTTACCACTCTAAATTGTAGTGTCCTCCTCTATAAAGGAAGGATGTAACATTGACATCTACCTTATATTGTTGTTGTGAGGATTAAATGAGATAAATCATAAAAAATGCTTGTCATATAGTCTCAAACACTTAGTATCTTACCTATTATTGTTACTATTAATGACTGTATCATTTGTTTCCCTCCTTTACTTGGTTTCTCTTCAAAACACTTCTAAAAGCAGTTACTACTTAAAGAATCTATAACATGCTTTAAAAATGAATAATTCATTTAGAATTCTGACTGCTAGTAATTAAAAAAAAAAACCCTTCCTGCCTGGCCAGTGTGGCTCAGTGGATTAAGCATCATCCCATGGACTGAGAGGTCACAATTCGAATCCCGGTCAGGGCTTGTGCCCGGATTTCGGGCTCCATCCCCAGTAGGGGTCGTGTAGGAGGCAGCTGATCGATGTTTCTCTCTCACATTGATATTTCTATCTCTTTCCCTTCCTCTCTCTCTAAAAAATCAATAAAAACATATTTCAAAACAAAAAAACCATTCCTAATCCTTGTTAACATCTGGAAAATGGCAAAAACATACAGATCTAAGTAGCTAAGAATTAAGTCTCAGTATTAAACAACTTTGGATTTCCCATAAATACTGTATCATAAGAAAAGGATTTACCACTATCTATCTAACCTCCTTATATCTACTCACCCTCCAAAAAAGATACAAACAAGTTTATGGCTGAATTATGTAGCATCTCTCATGATTATTATTTAGAAAATCCTCTGTATCATCTATTTTTAAATCACATGTGAAAATATTTAAAGCTTTGATACCTGGATTTCTATAATCCAGGTCAAACTAAGACTGAGCCTAAAAAGTACTTCACATTCACCATGTTTCCTTTCTGAGGTGCTTTTCTATTTTTATTTGAGAAAACAGGAAGTCCCATAGGAACCAGGAACTGCCTGATTCTAAGAAAATTCATGTGTGAGACCAGTTTAACAAGGTACAGTATAAAAAGCAAGAAAAAAATGTATCCTGCTATCATCTAAAGAGATTTTGCTAATGAATTTTTAGATATTATTTTTCTATAGAGTAACAGGGTTTTAATGTGGGAAAGAAAAAAGTACTCAGTAGGGGAACAGAAAGAACAAATAATACAGCTTAAAGATTAAATAAAATGTTAAGAATTAGAACATGCTTAGACTAAAGACATTTTTAAATAATATTGATTTTTATTAATGTAAAATTTTAACAACTTAAAATAAAGCTATATTTAGTTAAATATACTACCAAAAGATGCTCTGCCAATCTAATTAAAATAAAAATCTGGTTAAAATTGGTCAAACAAGACTAAAAACGGGTCTTTTAAAATTTGCTCTTTGTAACAATAATTCTAAACTATATAAAACATGCAATTCTAAAATACCAGTTTTAACATCTATGAAAAAAGTCATGATAGCATTATTTTTTGACTATATACAAAAGTATTTTTTGAAAAGATTAAATGAAAAACTAGCTCTGCAAGCATCACTATGAAAAAAGTATTGCTGTAGATTATAGATGTTCTCCCACTAGACTGCTCTACTGTGAGCTTCTTATGACAGGAACTGTGTGTCATTCATGTTTGTTTGCCCAGAGCCAAGCATAGTACTGAATATACAGTTAGTGCTTGAAAAGTGTTGGCTATGCCCTGGCCGGTTTGGCTCAGCGGTTAGAGCGTCGGCCTGTGGTCCCGAGAGACCCGGGTTCGGTTCCCGTAAGGGAATGTACCTCGGTTGCAGTTTGTCCCCGGCCCTGGTTGGTCGTGCGGGTGGCAGCCACTTGATGTGTCCCTTTCACATCGATGTTTCTCTCTCTCTTCCTCTCTCCCCCTCCCACTCTACCTAAACAAAAAATACAAAAATGTCCTCAGGTGAGGATAAAAAAAAAAAAAGAAAAGTGTTGGCTATGCACTTTAAAGAAGGTTAAATCCACTCTTCTTTATTCCACACTGTGTGTTAACACTGAAGGGAAAGTGTTAAATTCTGCAGGAAGTTGGAGAAGGCTATGTTCTCAGCAACTTGGAAGGGAGAGGGGGGATAAGATAACAAAGGAAAGCCAAAAAGCAGAACAATAATTCTGTTGAAAAACATTACTCTGTCCTTTGTATCTTTCTAGATTTCTACCTCTTGCTAATGGGCTAAAATACCCGAGAGCACAACATCTAAAAAACCAACAATATACTTTCCACTCTATACATCTTCTGTTAAAAAAAAACGTTCCCCTATTTCCTATGACAACTGTCACCTATTAAACTAACAGACACATGAAATTAACAGAAGTAAAATATAGACTTGAGGTTAAGTTTTAGAAAGAAAATTCCATCTAAAAACAGTAATTCTAGCCCTGGCCGGTTTGGCTCAGCGGTTAGAACATCAGCCTGCGGTCCAGAGAGACCCGGGTTTGGTTCCCGCTAAGGGCATGTACCTCGGCTGCAATTTGTCCCTGGCCCTGGTTGGGTCTTGCAGATGGCCACTCGATGTGTCCCTTTCACGTCGATGTTTCTCTCTCTCTCTGTCTCTCTCCCTCCCACTCTATCTGAACAGAAAATGAAAAAATGTCCTCGGGTGAAGATAAAAAAAATAAGTAAATAAAAAATAAATAAAAACAGTAATTCTAACAAATAAAACGCCCTCAAATTTCTAAAGAAGCATCTTTATACATCTAACTTTTTTCTGCCAAATCATTTCAGCATTTCTAAAACCACAACAATCTTTTATCTCATCCAAATTACCTACACTTTTTAATGGGAACAACACCTGTTATTAACCCTAATATTCCTTCCTTCCCTACCTATTAGGCAACAGTACAGGGTAAACCATTTTCCAACAGCATTCCACAGCAAAACATTGCCACTTCATTTATTAGCCTCTTTTCTTTTTTTTTTTTTTTTTTTTTTTAATCCTCACCCGAGGACATTTTTCCATTTTTTGTTCAGATAGAGTGGGAAGGAGGGAGAGGAAGAGAGAGAGAGGGGGAAACATCGACGTGAAGGGACACATCGAGTGGTTGCCACCCGCACGACCAACCAGGGCTGGGGACAAACTGCAACCGAGGTACATGCCCTTAGCGGGAACCGAACCCGGGTCTCCCCGGACCGCAGGCCAATGCTGTAACCACTGAGCCAAACCGGCCAGGGCTATTAGCCTCTTTTCTAACGATGGACCTGAGAGTAAATTATATAGTTCTTATTCCTAATCCTAAAGCAATGATAATGCCAAGTTGCTATTCCAACTTTATCTTCCACCCCCTAAGAGGCACAACCTTGACTGTAGACCTGTTATTGTCCTCTTTTATACCATATATCCCCAACATTACTGCTTTTTCTCAAATTCCTCCTTTTGGCCATTCCTTTTTCAATTTTCTAGTTCAGATTATTTCAAACCTCAAATGTACCAAACTGTTCTTTGTAAATGTCCTTAATATTTTGACTTCTCTTTCATTTAAACTATGCGAATGACTATAAAAGTCAAATTCCTAAAAATGTTTCTTTAATACTACTACCTGACTCCTCAAAATTGTCCAATTATTTCCCATCACATTTTGCTTCAAGGAACTAAATTCTAATCATGTGATACTTTCCTACTTACTTATAAGACACATTGCTTCTCCTTCTCCAAACCTCTTTCTCTTTCACATCAATTCCAAAACATGTTATTAGTTTTACTGATCCTTTCTGTCAACTGCAAACTTTTTTTTCATTCTCTCAGGCTAAGATCAAATTTATAAACCATTATGTATTCCCAGATAAAAAGGGAGAAATAAAGTAAATCAACCAATAAATGTATTCACAAAACATATGTTTGATGTTGACTAAACAGATTATTCTCCTCAGAAAAGCTCCATTTGGGTCACTCGATGGTAGTTAATGGAAGAAAAGTCTGTGGTGACCAAAGTTCTTTTATAACTCGAAAAGAAAGATAACATTTAACAAATATTTATAGAGCACTTTTTTGCTAGGCCCCAGAAATATAGTAGGGACTAAAATAAAAAATATCTCTGCCCTTAAGCAGCTTATGTTCTAGAGAGGTTAGAAGAGACCATGAACAAATACAGTTTTAAAATGTATAGGATGTCAAATGCTTCTAGTGCTTTAAAGATAAAACAGTAAGAATGGTGCTTAACATGTGAGAGAGGGAAGCAATATTAAATAAGATGGTCAGGGAAGGCCGTACTAAAAGACTGCATTTGAATAGAAAGCTGAGGGAGCAGAGGAAACAAGCCATGAACAAAGAATCTGATGCATGATGAGGTTAAGTTGCTTCCTTGAGGTAAACAAGTTTCAAAGCTGGGCTTCAAAAAGATTCAAACCTATGTTTGACTCCAAAGCCTACACTCTTTCCATTATAGAAAAAACAACCACAGAATGTATGTGGTCTAAGGAAAGTGTCCTTTTCTAGAACCTTCAGATTCAGAATCATGAAACTTTAATTTCCTTATGATAGAATGTATGAAAAATACCCAAAATGAGGGATAAGGAAGAAAAGACACTGCTGTTGGAGAACTGGAGAATACAATGTTGTGTGTTAGATGAGGAAAACTTCAAAACTAAGTTCTCTAATTGTAGTTCAGCAAAAGGTTTTCCATGATATATCAAAATATAAAGTGTCCCATCCAGGACCACCACAGGCAGCATTAATCAATCACTCCCCTTCTC